TTCTTTATTAATCCCATTTCTACCTTCGATTCAATCCCTACTTTATCTTATGTTTAGGCATTTAAGTATAAATAAACAAATGAAAGTATTAATACAAAATTTCACGAGTTATACTTCAGAAGAATTTTATTGTAGTGCTATCTATTGCTGATTTGCTGAACTATGCAGATGAAATTTCAGAATTAGTTCAGCCAATCATCGAGAGATGATGACACATATCAGTTCCTAAGCATAGAACAATTGGTTCTTGAACAAATGTTCCAGAAATTGTTGAAATTGCTTTTACCTCTTTCCTCCTTTTAACTCTGTGTTTGTAAAAATCAGTAGAAAAACCAAGAAATTCTAAAGAATGATTTGCTAGGTAACATGTAGATAATAATTTATAATCATTAATTTATTCATTATTCTTCATTGTTTCTAATTATTCCTTCACTGTATACGATATAACCACCGACTAGGTATAGAGTGCACCTATCATCCAATGCTTTTTTCTGTCCCACGTTCATAGGATACGTAACACTGTTACCATTTTAGTGTCAATACCTGATGTTACCGATAAAGCATGAATTCTGAGTATTATTAGCACAAATGAAGTGTTACATATTCCATTCATATTGCGTGTATCTATATGATTTGACGGGAATAAAAATATCCGATGCTTCCGTTTAAGGTTAAAGGATAAATATGACAGTCATGAAACATGAAACGAAAAAGTATATATTTTTTCACTTAACTACAAGACAATTTATTCTAAATGCATCGTTAATGGACATTTTATTAATGTTACTTTTTAGATGTTCTTGTTTTATTTGTTTTTATATTTTGCCTTACATTTGTATATTTGTAACAGATAAATTCAGAATAGATGTAGTTTCATAACTAGTTTATCAAATGTACCTTTTGGCCGACGACTTACAATTTCCCTTCCGGGAATGCCTTACCGTAACGAGCCATCTCGTAGCCGCGGGATTCCGGGAATCGGGTGACGTCAAGGTGTGCGAGCGAGAGCGGTAAAGCGAGCCGCGGTATCGGTGCTCTGCGTCGGTGTTGACGCGTGCCGAAGAATTTCGGTGGCTATAGGGGGGAGGTGTGCGAGCGAGGGAGTACGGTAGAGCATGCCGCGATATCAGTGCTCTCCGTCGGTCTAACTACCATCCAGTGTTTGGGTCGTTCAAGGAGGAAGGTCGTTCAAGCCGGCAAAAACAATTCAACACGAACAAACCTGCGTACACCCAATACATAACGGCGTTAGCTTCCTCACTTTCTCGTGAACCGTCGCGGAGGGTGGTCGTGCGTCTCATACTCGTCCTTTCTCTTGTTACTAACCCATTGTTTGTTGCAGGCATTGGACAACCACCAATTTATTTACTGTGCATATTATTAATCTATTTACTGTGGATATTGTTGTGTCCCCTTTCTTGTTACTAATCCCTTGTATGTTACAGATGTTCGAGAACCATTGGCTTCGATATTTATTTATTTATTTACTGTGATTTATTTACTGTGCATATTATGTATTCTATGTGTATTGTATAATGAAAAATATTTTTCCAAACAGTTATTCCATCGAAAGAAGACATCGATCAACGTCTACATCTTCAAAGCGTGCGTCTACCACTGCGTTAAGTTACTGTAAGTTAAACTTAAATCATAATTCGATATTCATTGTTATATTCATATTCATCATCACATCGTTTATTATTAATTTTAGTCTATCTATTAATAGACTTAAATTGTGATCAGCCATTGTGCATACCAAGTTATTATTAATTCATTTTGCTCGTTGATTTCTCTACACAGACTTGGGGTATGGGCAGTGGGTCTGTACCTATTATGGTACGGGCAGTGGGCCTGTGCACTAAGACTGTTTGCCGATCCCTCTGGTTTCTATTGAGAAGCCAGATATCGGACGTGTTTAGTCTTTGCCTGGTAAGTAGGATTTGGAGTAAAGGCTCGTGCGCGCCTGGGTACAACGTACCCGCCTACGGAGTAGTCGGGAGTCTGCTCCGTAAAAGGACTCTGTTTTACAGGGGATCTCGCTTGCACTACCATACTTGGTCATGACCTGTGCTCGGGTCTGGTACGTAGGTGACCAGCCCAAAGGGCCTGGAAAGTGAGAGATGGATTCGGGTTTGCGAGGTTGCGCCCGTCTTTCCTATTTTCTTAAACCAGGTTCTGGCGACAACACTTTCATCGCGATACTTGTTCATACTGTAGTTTAACGTGGTTCATCGTAGAATTAATTTTTGGCTTGGTATATTAGGTGCGTAAACGAAATGATCGATGGAACTTTTTCCATTCCGTCTATCTCTTTCGTTTGAGTATTAGCGACTACATTGCGTTAAATTTGTTATTTCGTATTACTAGCATTAATTCGTATTAATTAGAATATTAAGATAATATTAGTTCTAAGCTGAAGAACGAAGACAACCGACGAGGGAACTTAGTTTTTTTGTAGGTTTAGGCTCAAGAAAGAAGTCATCCGCCGAGGGATTTTAGTAGCGATAGTATTAGATAGTTAAGATTTAAGTTATTTATAAGGTTTATTGTGAAAGGTGGGTAGATGTGGAACTTGTGATTCCATCTACCTGCCTTGGGCCTCCACTCGCAGCAACCTCCTCGTGGTGAGGCCTGGGCAATCGGTATTGTCATCGGTAAAGTACTGTAAACTGAAGACAATACCGAGCTAATGGCTGCGAACTTCAAATCTATCTCATAAAACCACGTTTTATATTACATCGAACTAGGATTATTTTAGAAATCATATTCATAACAATTACATACCTCCAGGGTACATATGTTGTTAAATATTTCACCAGTTGTTTTATAATGCAAATTGTTAATAATCATAACTAATAGAAATCGAGATACAGAGTAACATTCAAGATGTGGATCTTGTAATGAAGCTTTATAAATGAATAATTTGTATTTTATCATAAATTATTAAATAACAACCTCGTCTTAGTATTTATGAGAAATAAGAAATATTAATTATTTTATTTAAATGATTTTAATTACGTTCTGTGCGTAAGTTCAGGACAGAACTGCCTTAGACGTGTGGCGCGAGAAGACTTTGGAATTTGTATTTTCATAAACGAAGTTACAAACTGGTACTTGTGAGAACGGGCATCATTTTTCTTCGTCATGCATTAAATTCGAAGATTAAAGAACGTAGAATAATACTCTCTAACAGCTGGGAACCAGTAATTACGAGAACATTGTTAAAATTACATTTATTTGCAACGGTTGACACTGTTCTCGTCATATGTACCCCGATTAGGTCACTTTGGACAGATGTTACACCGTTATATGGATAGCTTTCGTCTAGATAAAGCACTCGATTTGTAGCTGAAAGAACGTAGATTAATCCCATGCCATTGACAATAACAATAAACGACCAGAACACTGTCAAAATCGCATTTAATCACAGATTACCACTATTTTTTCGACCGGTGGCGCCACCCGTGGCAATTCGCTCAAACTACTAGCCAAATCATACCGATCGGTGAGTGAAAATTCCTAGTGATGGAAAAATGCGAATATCTCAGTAATCAAGCGCTTAAAATGAACGTCATTAGTCTCAAATTGTCCCTCAGGACTTAATGTACGCACTCAATAGTGCAGAACCCCTGAATTAGTAAAATTAGTTATGCCTGTATTATAGTAGCCCCTTACGGGGCGGCAACCTTACTTGCAACAGATATCGATTACATTTACATCACTGAACGGGCATTATTTTCCTTCGTCATGCATTAAATTCGAAGATTAAAGAACGTAGAATAATACCCTCTAACGGCTGGGAACCAGTAATTACAAGAACATTGTTAAAATTACATTTATTTGCAACGGTTGGCACTGTATCTTGTCATGCGTACCCCGTTTAGTTCACTTTAAACAGCTCTAACACCGTTATACGGATAGCTTTCGTCTAGATAAAGCACGCAATTTGTAGCTGAAGGAACGTAGATTAATCGCCTGCCATTGACAATAACAATAAACGACTAGAACACTGTTAAAATCGCATTTAATTGCCGAATACCACTATTTTTTAACGGTGGCGCCACCCGTGGCGAATCGCTGAAACTGTTAGCCATATAATTGGCTAACAGTTTCAGGGATTCGTCACGGATGGCGCCACCGTCCAAAAAATAGTGGTATTCGGCGATTAAATGCGATTTTAACAGTGTTCTGGTCACTTATTGTTATTATCAATAACAGTGGATTAATCTACGTACTTTCAGCTACCAAATTGAGTGCTTCAGCTAGACGAAAGCTGTCCATGTAACGGTGTACGAGCTGTCCAAAATGAACTAACCGGGGTACGCATGACGAGATACAGTGTCAACCGTTGCAAATAAATGTGTTTTTATCAATGTTCTTGTAATTACTGGTTTCCAGTCGCTAGAAAGAATTAATCTACGTTGTTCAAACTTCGAATTTAATGCGTGACGAGGAAAAATGATGTCCGTTCAGCGGTGTAAATATAATTGAAATCTGTTGCAAGTAGGGTTGCCGCCCCATAAGGGGCTACGGTAATACAGGTATAAATACTTTTACTAATTCAGGGGTTCTGCACTATTGGGTCCATGCATTAAGTTCTGGGAAACAATTTGAGACTAATGAGGTTCATTTTAAGTGCTTAATTACTGAGATATTCGCATTTTTGCATCACTAGGAATTCTCACTCACCTGTCGGTATGATTTGGCTAGTAGTTTGAGCGAATTGCCACGGGTCGCGCCACTGGTCGAAAAAATAGTGATAATCCGCGATTAAATGCGATTTTGACAGTGTTCTGTTCACTTACTATTATTATTAATGACAGGGGATCAATCTACGTTCTTTAAGCTACAAATCGAATGCTTGCTCAAGACGAAAGCTGTTAGTATAACGTTGTAAGTGTTGTTCAAAGTGAACTAAACAGGATATGCATAACAGGATGCAAGACATCTTCACGGCATACCCATTTAAAACGTGGACTTCAGTGTGGTAAACTGTAATGACGAACCACATGGTTATCTTCCAGAACAGTGTAATCTTTACATGACGTTCAGACATCACATTTTCTGAAAATGAATTCTGGAGACAATTATCATCTTTACGTAGGTGGTACGTCGGGCGTCTTCAAAGGTATTTTATAAACCTAGTTTAGTCGATGGACTGAAAACAACGCTTTTACAATTCATATTAGTGGCCGGTGTAACCCAAACGAGATAATCACTTAGTTTTACATTCTTGTTTACAGGCATAAAAATAGATAAAACGAAATGTATAATTCAAAACATACAAAATTTAGTGACCATAGCGGCTAATGATGAGATCACAACAATGTCCTGGGACGACGACCAAGAGAAAGATATTCTGATTGCTTGCGGTGGGAAAGGGAATAGGAGGTCATACATAATAAGTAATTTATCAAATGAAATTATATTCATGAACTGTCAGAGATGTTATTATAATGTTTTTAATTTTATAGTGTGAAGGTGTACGATAGAAACTGCTCAGCATTTACATGCTCCTTCTGCTGCAATAACGGAGCAGGAAAGATTAATGGCATATCACGATATGATGGGTAAGTTTAATAACATTAATTATAATAGTTTCTTTAGAGCTCGTACAACACATTTTTCAGAGCAATCTTGACTGCAGTTGAATCTGGAGAAGTGAAGCTATGGCGATTCAAAGAGGAAGATGAAATTATAATAAAAGCCGGTGAAAATTTAAAAAGAATGCGCCACTCAAAAATGAACAAAAATATAATAGCCACTGGAGGAAATGAACACAAATTGAAATTATTTGATTTAGAGAGACAGGCACAAGTGTTCATAGAAAAAAATGTATCTCATGATTGGCTGGAAATGAGAGTTCCTGTTTGGATTTCTGATGTAGATTTTCTTCCTAATACAGAACAAGTTGTAACAGTTGGCAAATATGGACATGTAAGAAACTCAGACTTTATAAAACATTGTTAATATAATAATATTCGAGCTTACTGAAATGTATGTGAACCTTTCAAGGTACGATTATATGATCCAAAAACACAAAGGAGACCTGTTATAAATTTGGAAATAAAAGATGAGCCATTAACAACATTTGCTTTTACACCAAGGGAAAAGTAAGTATAATTTCTAATTAAACTATGGACATTCATGCATGTACACATTTTAATAATAATAATATATAAAAATGGGAATATATTTTTTGAGAATGGTATTAAAAAAAATCATGTTAATTTTATTCCAGACAAATCATAGTAGGATCTGGCAAAGGTAAAATGAATCTTGTAGACCTGAGAAAACCAGCTAAAGTATTGAATACATACAAAGGGTTTGTTGGTGGTGTAACTGGTATAGCTTGCAGTAAAATCGAACCTTATATTGCCAGTGTTGGTTTGGACAGATATGTACGAATTCATCACATGGACACAAAAATGTTATTAAAGAAGGTAAATCTTAAGCAATGTACTCTAAATAAAACAAAAAGGTAAACGTTTAATACAGGTCCATTTGGAAAAAGAATTTCATTTTTTATATTAATCTGAAATCGTTACGTGTAATGTAATGTGAATGTTTCGATACTGCATGTAATCATTATTATAATACACAATATTATTTTTGTGTTGCAGATTTATCTAACATCAAAATTGTCATGTATGCTGTTGCGTTCAGACGTTTCACTGCCAGTAGAAGATAAAGAAATCGAAAATAGCGTACAAGTACATAATAATAGTAATGGTGAACAAAATGATATTGAACAAGCGGAAAGGGTACAAGTAAACGCAGATAATGATGCAGAATATGATATGTTATTCGACAAAATGCAAGTCATAAGCAATAAAGAGGATAGGAAATCGATTGAAAGAAAACGACGAAGAACCAAAGATGATTCATTGTTAGACAACGAAACAGTGAGTAATTTCATATAAAAGTCAGAATTAGTTATGAAAATAGAGTAATGCAAAATTTAACTATATTTTTTATGCGTAGGTATCTCGCAAATCTCTTCCGAACAAACTCAAAACACCACGTTCTAAGAAAATCAAGTCTAATCGCTTAAGAAAAAGTATGTAATTAATTGTAAGAAGTTATTATCAGTACATGTAAACATCTCTTTCAACAAATTCTAAGTAAACTATTTTTATATTTTTATAAGAAGTTGTTCCTTTAGAAGTTGAAATAAATGGTCACACGCGTTCCGACATAAAAAGGTGACTTACAAATGTAACATGGATAAAAATTGGAATAACACGGCACATAGAAATTACTACAAACAATAAAATAAAATGTTTCTATTATCATGTATTTTGTCACTCAGCAATTCGCATTTTTTTCATTTGTAACTTACACGTACGAGGGACATGAATAATACGTTAATCGTTTTTTTTTTGTTTTGTTAAATCGTTTTGTCCTGGATATACAGTACTGAGACGCGACTAAGGTGTACTGTCTAATTTTATTCGATTAATTTCTTTATTGTACAATTTATTCTTAATACCTTGTCTATATATTATTTTGGTTCGCAAATGCAGCGTACGCCCGAGTTCAATGGTTCCCTCAAATTCAACAACTACCGGTGCCCTGTTTACTTGTCAGGATCTTCGTAAATTGTGCTTTCGTGGTTTTGTAATATTGAAATCGGGTGCGCCGCAGGACGTAGGCTACTCGTAAATCTTTTACGTCTAGAAACTAGAAAAAAAAAGTGAACGTGACAACTCGCAAAGTTGAAACGTAGTTTGTACTAAAAGGAAATAACGTTTCGCAGCTACAGCACACTAAATCTTATTCGGCTATGATTCTTTTCAGCTGTACAAAAATCATTGTCCACTACGCCTCCTGTTAATTAATACTAACGCAAACTTGCTTTATCCTGACTGGGCTTACATGTTAAATGGAATAGATTTTTTTTTTTCTTTAAACTCTTATCCTCGTAAACGTACCTAGGAATAAATTCACTAAATTACAGGCACTGTCCCCTTCAAAATCGAGTAGGTGGTTGTTTGACCCATATGTCTACAGAGCAAAAAATGGAGCTTTGTGCCAAACAGGAAAGCAAGTTCCTTGGCACAGAGGCCATTTCTTGTACAAATTTCCACATATAGATGTAACACGCAGATCTTCGCATAATTCATTAAATTCCATCATTTTTTTCGCGCAGTAAGCGTAGAATAACAAAACACGTTTCACGACGAAATAGATTTTTTTTCGGTTGATCGCGTTCGTACAGGAATGCTTTCTGCCACTCATTTTCTGCGGCGGTTTTATGTTTACATGATTTATCGTTAATTTCTTTCTGAAACAGAATCCAGTTTCGGTGTTTTTTTTTCTCCGGTCATGATAAGACTTATACATTAGACGAGACATTAAGATCGACACGATCATCAATCGCTTGCAATTATTTTTGTCGTTTACGAAAAAATTTTTCCCGATTAATCGTTGATTACACTTGCAAATTAGTAACAATATAAAATGTAATTACAAAACTTTCCTTCCATATTTTATGTGACGCCAGTTACAATCCCATCTTTAATTACATAATATACAGAATTTTGGTCAGAGATCACGTAAAAATCTTGTAATATGCTCTTTATACTTCCATCCCTTTTTGGTTTCTTTTTTTGTCCAAAAGAAAATTCACTAACATAATAGTTAATTTCATAAGAACTTCACGTAAAGCAGATACAAACAAGATATAATTATTCAAAAGACGTAAAATTAAGTTACATTATATACATGTACACACAAGTCTAAAATAAGTGTAAAATGAATATGTTCACAATCAAACTGTTTTGTAAGTAACTTGAATAAAGTACTGCTGTTACTTCTAAATACTTAAAACATTGATTAAAAGATTGCTGGCAGCGCATGCTCAAGGTAAGAAAAGTTGTTTCCATGTACCAATGCTTCGTAGGCCTGTCACTTAATATTTAGTAATATTTTTCCTTGTAAATGTTATTACGTACGATACATAATATAGTAGCATAAAAATCGAATGAAAACTGGCAACTTGGATACATGTAAGTATTGCCTTCCTGTATTTAAATGTTTTGTTCAAGGTGTAAAGTTGTAGGATGATCATTAATAAAATTGAATTATTATTGGATTAATTAAAAGCATTTAATTAATTTGAAAGTTATATCATAGTCGAATAGTAACATAAAATCAAAAGCACCATATTATATTCTTTCGCGTAAAGTGTATCACATGCTATGCTGTTATGTAAAATTGAACACTTTAAAAAAAACGAACAAGATATAAATATTCTGAGATTTCCGAGTAGAACTATAGTATCCATTGCTGTGAGGGAGAAACGTGCAAGGCCTCTGTAAAAACGGGGTCCACATTTACTAATTATGGAGCACTCTTCGGTATACGGCTATTCTTTGTTTTCTGTCTTGCGGACACGTCTACCATTTCATATAAATAAAGCATGTTATATCATAATCTTTGATCTGAAATAAAGTAGTTTCCAGTGTGACAAGAGCCACAACACCGTTATAAATTGTAAAGGACGAAACAGCTATTTCTTTTTTCCGATATTGTTTTGAAACATTCCCAGCGTACGATAGACGAAAGGGCGATGGAGAACTCATAACCTGAGTAATTAATGGCGTAGCGATCGTTCCTGGCAAGAAGCTCGAACGTCTATGCTGAGTAGCGTTTGTACCATAGAAAATTAAGCTTACTCAACTTTATACATTACACAGCGTCGCGTTATTATTGTTTGTCGCGTCCAGTAAACTTCATTCGTAATTTTCGCGCTCAGCGTGATTTAATAAGTTCCGATAACATGTCATTTTCTCTGACTGATTCCGTGAACACAGAATAACTGTGTGTTCCGTGTTTTTCATAAATTCTTAATGCGAGATCAACGCGAGCATTAAGAATACATGACAAACACACGATTATTCCTATTGCTGCTTACCGCTGTTCAACTGCAAATTTAATCTTAATTTTACAGCGAGAAACCGGTCACAATTTCATGCTTAACAGCACATTACGTTGCCTCATTCGCCCCCTGACACAGTTACTTCTCTCCATGCAGGTTCTTGAGACTGATTTACTAAATTAGATTGAGGTTCAGAAATATCTGACGCTGCTGGACTCAGCGGTGGACTAGGTGTCGCGGGTGCTTCTTCAGACTGGTTTACTTTAGCTGCGTCTACTTCAGTTTCTTGTTCACCATCAGCAAGAGAAGCTTCCGACTGCACAGAACTCGGAGCCTTTGATACAGAATCCTGTGCTCTTAACGATATAGAACTATTTTTATTGCTACTGCCATCTTCACCTGTAAATAAAAGTTATCGTTGCTTCAAGTCCATTACTTATTCTATTAAGACAACAATAAGATATACGCAAACATTATAATTTTTTTTTATAAAATATTAAAAAGTATCGTCTTACCGCAAGGCCTAAGAACGAGGTAGAAGAGTAAGTCAGATAGAGAAATTATACCAATCACTTTATCATCATCATCAACCACTACTAGCCTATGGACCTGAAAATTTAAATACATAAAATAATTACGACTTAACGCGCCTGTTTTAGAAATTAATTGGTAAATAAAAAGAAATTATTATACCTCGGCCCTAACAATTTTTTCCATAACAGTAAACAGCGTTTCATCTAATTTACAACTTTGAACTCCTTCAAACCATTCATTACGATGCTCATTTGCTTCTCTTAATGAAATATCTAGATTATTATATGTCTTCTCTGCAGCTAAATTCTGAAAAAAAAAAAAAAGAATATACATATTTAATATCGGTAAAATTCAATTCAAAATCATAGTATCTGAGATTTTAAATATACTTACAATAACATCAAACTTAGAATAAATGTTAACCAATTTTCCTTCAGCATCAATGATCGGCAATGCTGAGCATCTCCTCTCGACAAATTTCTTGAGTGCTAAAATTATGCTAGTTTCTTCTGTTGCTGTTTCAATATTATCGAATGTACCTATCCTTAACTCCCTCAGTGTTTTATTTGTAAATGATGGTTTTGGTAGCTCATGTATCTGTTAACAAATTATTGTATTAAGTTTTATTTTTTGATAATCATTCCTTCTTACGAGTTCCACTTTTAGTACTTACATATAGAAAGAGGAACCTAAGTATTCGTTTGTGTGTCAAGATATAGAGAACATTTCCAGTATCTGGGTCTATCACAGGCAAACGATGAATTCTATTGTGAATAAGAGTTTTAATGGCCTCGTACAAAGATGCATCAGGGCTAATGCTCACTAATGGATGAACCTGATCCTTCAAGACTTCTAAAATGATAAGAATTACAAAATATTTTTATTAATCAGTTCCAAAATTCTTTATCAAGATACTTTTTAAAGAAAAACATTTACTTCTCCATGTATCTAACTCGTGTTCTTCCAATTCATCCATTGTTACAGATGGGCTGGTGTAGTACATCTGCAGAATTTTTATAAAGTCTGTTATAGTTAACATCCCCACAAATTCTTGCCTTGCACTGTCCCATAATGGCGCAGCTCTCACACCTGTACAAAATATTAATAAATAAAATAAATAAAGAAGTATATTTGTATTTTTAATAAATATATGAGATAAATGAGAATTTTTCAAGTGTGTATTCAACACTTGCTAAAAGCAATTTTAAGTGTCCTCCAGTTTACATGCTTTGAATACAGATGACAATTAGAGATAACCACAGATGACAGTTTAAGATAAACACAGTTCGAAGAATGAAACGAAAGGCTATTGATATTATTAAAAAAAAACCTTATTTTTTACTCACCATTGTAGACAAGAGCGAAGAAGGCCTTCTTTACGAGGAGATGAGTGTCGAAAACGACCAACTTGGCACTGGTTGGTATTAGGTCGTAACATTTGTGAAATTTGAAGAACTTCACGAAGATCTGTGATTCGTCCTCCTCTGAAAGTCCAAACAGTTCACAGTAGAGTAGAGCTTTTTGGTTTCGTCGAAGCATGTTTTGTTTTTTTTTTTTATTCCCTTTTAACGATGTCACAATGTTCTTACGATTTATACACGTAACCAATTGCAAATTAATCGCAGCTTGTCAACGTTCCTACGTTATCAAAAACTCACACTTCAAAAATTTGCTGATCACAAAACACTTGTTCGTCGAGATTTATCACAAAAATTATCGAATCAATGACACATTGATTCGCGTACCGGGTTTTGTGACCTTGCCTTGTGATAGGTTATACTGGTACTAATGTACGCGCGCCGAATTACACATTCTGGCGGTGTATTCAAATTTTGCGATAGAAAATGAATTACGGGTTTCTAAAATGGAGAATGATAACTATGCAACGTAACTCCTTACGTCATACTAATTACGAAAAATCCTACAATCACCTAGTGACCTAAATACATCCAAGTACGTCAGTGTGCCACACAAAAGAATTGTATTGTATTCCTGTTAATCGCCTAATAAACAATCGTTTGTTCGATTACTACGGTTAGACGATACTACATACCCCTGTTATCCCAACTTCACGCACTAATGGCTATAATATGGGTCACGAGTACTTAATCAAACGTTCGCGCAAAGGGTGGCAATGTTACGCAACGTTGAAACGAGCCCCATCAGATGATCGATTACATAGGATGATGAGGATCGCTTTAAAACCAGCTCAAACGACACGAACTTTTTACCGAGTAATTCATTTATCGAATAAGTTATTTTATTACGTGGATATGCAGGGTGTTTCATAGCACGTTTGAGCCACTTTCGCAATGCACAAAGAATAACGAAACGAATTCGTATAAACACGTGTTCCATTTGACTTTGTCCCCGAGTGTAGTAGCCGTATTTGTATTCGTGTCATTCTTAGTGACTAAACTGTGGATCTTCATTTACATATGTAGATTCTCCTTTGACAATCAAGTAGGTATAATTAATTCTGCTAAAACTGTCCGTGTACAATATTCGACTATTCCTTTTTTTGTATCGAATTCTTAAGTGGTTGAGAAACTAGACAACTGTAGGCTTAGAGATCAAACGTTTTATATGAATTTTATTTATTACTTTTCCGTTCTTCGTCTACCGCCAATGTGGGTCTCGCATATTACGAAACGCCCTGTATAATGAACTCGATCTCGTGCATTACAGTGTCGTAACGTACACCGTGGGGATTATAACGATGTTATTTCCACCGGCACTTAATTACGGAAAAATAAGTATTACGGTTGGGAACGTGTAACGTAAAATCTCATTATCAAGTGTCCGCGATATGGCGCATACAGCCTCGTGAGAATTCATTACAAGTAATTACCAACAACGTAATGCCATTAGTAAGAAAATAAAAGAAGACAATTATGAATTTTGCTTGACTTGTAAGCCTCGTTGTAAGGAAAACATTTTTGTTTTTACTTTACACATTTTTTAGAAACGGGACAGAAACATGAATGGACCAAATACTCTTGAATGGTAAGCGTATAATATTTGTTTATGTTTTCAAATAATGCAACTTCACCTCAGAAATGACTAAATCTATGTGTATTCTATGATCGACGATTCGCTCCGCAATGTAAGCAGGAATTTAGCAGACATCCTGGAAACGAGTTATTCATGTAGTACCAAGAAACTGTACGACCACCAGTACGCGGATTCCTGAGGGGATTGTAACGTCTAATTACAGATGGAAAAGCAATTTCTTGGAATTGCTAGGCGGTACGTTACAATATCGGGGACAAATACAGGAAAATGAAGAAAAGAAAAAAAGAGTGGGCAATTTACAAAAAAAAAAAATGAAAAATGAAAAGAAACGAAAGGGTTTTATTATTACCGAAGTTGGCCCAAATTTTATACTTTAACTCAACTTCTGACTTCATTTCCCATGCATCGAGGGATTTAAACTTGTAAGTAGCAACCTGTTTCGCTCAAACACTAAATATTTCACAGAATACGTCGTTTATTATTGACCCAAGCTCGTGATTGGTGAATGTGTACGGTGAAAACTGCAAGAATCGTTTGTGCACCGTGTATGCTACGATATTTGTGGCGGGAAAGAGTGATGTTTGAACTATAAAAAAGGAATGACGTTTGGGCTAAAAAAAAAGAATGACGTCTGGGTTAAGAAAAGAGCGATGTTTGAACTAAGAAAAGAGCGATGTTTGGACTAAAAAAAAAGAACGATGATTTGGACGAATATAGTAAAACTTGGCCATACAAATTGTCTATAATGTCCGATGATCCGAAATACACATCCATATATATGCCTTTGAAGTAATTATTCTTTCTAATACTAATATTCTTCCATATCTTTTCATGAGGATTCAATACAAATGGAACAGTTTGTCTAGAAAAAGCTAACTAAAGAACAGAATATAAAACCAGAAATTAGATGAATGTATCTAAGAAGCTATGGACGCTGGTACATTTCTTATCAAAACCATAAACTCGTGGAATTCAAGATAAGGGCGTAAATATCACTCGACCAACGATTCCAAATGTGTATACCTCGAACAAGATTTTCTCGGTGATGCAAAATGCTACGAAAAGTTTCGAAGAACCCAATATTTTAGGAACAAGTTAATATTCTTGGAACATCCCGATATTTTAAGAACAATCCAACACTTAGAAACGACCGAAGCCTCGACAGATAAAGCATACGCTCACACGAGGTAATAAAAACGTTGCAATTCTAGTAATCTTTACGACACATATCGCGTATTCCTCAACTTCAACAAGTCGTCGCCAGAGTTAACTGTTCTAACTCCATTTAAAAAAAAAAAAAAAAAAATTTAGTTAATCAATCTACACGCGACTCATTGGTCCAAAGAATTCTTCTAAGTCCTAACTCCGAAACTTTAAAAGCTCCAAATACTAACAACAATTAAGCAGTTAAGCACCAATCAAGTGTTTCGGCGCTAAAATCTGAAAAAGATCAAAAAACGAAGTCAAGTCACTCTGGTCCACGAACGACTCAATTTCCTAACACCAACGAACACTTAAGGAGAGTACACACAACTGCACATCTAATTGTCCCACAGAATCCATGATCTCTCACAGGGAATACCTCATTACAGTGCATTAAACAGTTGAATAAATCGCGATGAAGTTTTCACATTATTTCGAACCTGATAGAATTTTTAATAAGACAAATATGAATCTATTCGACTTCAGTTACTAAAGATTACTTCATGAAAATCTGCATAAACTTCCGCGATCAATGCACGTCTGAAACGGCTGTCTATACGAATCCCATATATGCAATCACCGAGCGGAAATGCAATAGAGGGGGGCCAGGTTTCCCAAGGCCCCCGAGTTTCTAGCGCGGAGGAAAAAAGAAACCAATACGTATGTACTACGGAAAAGTTGTTACGGCAACAAAAAAACAAAAAGTGTGTCGCTGAAGTATAACGGAGTTGAACGAACCACACACGTTTCGACCAACAAACGACTACGATTCACAACTCGTAGAAAGGCCTCTGTCGCCAAATGGGCCTGTGTGTCGAGTATATACTCGGCCCGTTTGAATTGACCGACTAATAAACTCTGGTTCACCAGCACCACTCACTGCATAACCAATTTTCACTCGAACTTCCACCAGCGTCACGGTTTCCGTGCAAACTTCCCGTGGTCGCGGCTGTGAAAACTTTGAACGATAACACAGGCGGCTGGTACTGAAGTCGCGGCGGCAAAAGTTAGAGGCCGAACTGTTCGCCCACGAGCTTTCTGTTACAGAGATCATGAAGCTACTGACTGGCGAAGAGATCGTGCAGCACGGTCGAGCCTACGGGTTGTTCGTGAGCGGGGCACATACGACACGCGTTGCAAATATACTGGCAAAGGACGGTGAACACCGTTTAGAAATGCATGCCTGCTTGGGTCGTGTTGGTTCTATTTAGCCGAACCAGTTCGTCTGGACGTGCTGTGTGACCCTATCGGTGGTCTTCGACGGGTATTTTTTTAAATGAAACTTGTCCACTTATTTTGAAACTATAAACTGATTTTCTAATGATACGATGTTGAGTAGTCGTGTATGGAAAGATTTATGTGGTTCAGATCTATATTCTTATAACGATGATTAAATATGTTACAACTGCGAATGCTTATGCATTTATAACATTCCTGGACTTGCTAAACGTAGCAGAATAAAAATTCTAGTAAAATTTAGCAGTATTTACGTGTTACCATTGACACATTAACCCCTTGCCTTACGATTTTTTTGACGATTGTACGCTCAGAAATTACTTTACCGTTAATAATTTCCCAGATAGAAAAAGAATTTTATTCTTAGGGCAAGTGTAACGTTTACTCAAAATCTTAAATATTAATACCAATGAAACAGAATTTCACTTTGACTCAAAGAGCATGAATAGTATACATGTTTATTAAATCCAGTTTGAAATCGTCATCACGTGTCTGACTCGATGTTATAAGACAAGGGGTTAATAACCCTGATACAGGTAACAAAATTCTGTTCTATTTTGTTTTATATATATTTCATCACAGTGTCAAAATATCCAAGTGTCCATAAAATCCGAAATGCTACTCCAAAAAGTGTCCGATATCGTGTGGAGTGAGTACTAACATTCTCAGTGACTATAATAAAAAATATTTTACTGTTTCCTTCGCAGTGACTATTGAATCGTCCGATATCCGACTTCTGTTACTTCAAACTCCGTTGGCATCGCTAGAACACCCGTAGGTACTAGTAGATTTGTATGTACGCACGTTAAGTGTAGGCTGACCGCGATCGTTGACCCATAGAAATGACGTGTACGCGAGTGAGAGCTTGAATCGATGACCCTGAGACTGAAAATGTTCCCTTCAATTGCACTTTGTTTAGCGAATGGGAATACGGGAGACGCTTATTCGTTCGACGACCCCGATAAGATGATGGTTCGTCGACGTCCAGTCGTTCGTTTTATAGAATTAAATATAAACCTACTGTCGCGAG